CTGCGTGTTACGATCCATTTGACGGAATTAAACACAAATTCTATAGGTTCTTAGATTATAATCTGACTTGTAACGAGACGAACGGTGCCGTTATCATTGGACACTTTGCCTTGGCAACAACCTGTGTCGTGAATTTATGGGATATCGACGAGCCGGCTTTCATCGAGATCGTAAACCTGACCCTTTATGGCGACATTATACCAGACCGAAATGGTTGTACTTCCATTGGAAATGACGTCTCGTGCTACCAAAATGAAAGGAGAAACCGGGATGCTTTCAAATCCTGCCGCCAATTCAACCGTTGAAACGACGCGAAATTTTTTTGAACAAGTTACCTCTTCTTTCTTCTGCGATGACTTGAAGAAGTTACGCCATTCTCCCGCTCTGAAATCTCTGGAAATCCGAGATTCCAACTTTCTACCATCATTGCGGTTCGGTTGAATGGCTCAGCGAATACTCAAGCGAATCGAATGTCCAGAGGGGAATCAAAATTCTCGTGAATACTCAATGGGTGATCTTAATCAATGCTTTAAGAACAATACTTGCTTTTAAATTTACGGGAAACAGATATGTCTCCGTGTTGTGTTCGTTGGTGAGGAACAAGGACGATTTTGTTCGAGAGCGAATCGATAATCAGAGGGGAATAGAAATTGGTTCCAGGAGAATACAACGAGCTTACGTACAATCAATGTTAAGGAGAATACATTTGTCTTTTGGGACTTATGTTTCCGTACAGTGTTTGCTGGGAGAAACTTCTATTCGAAGGTAAATTGATTTAGAGAGGAATGTAAATTTGCTTTAACGTGAAATAGGGATGGTCTAAGTCAATGTTAAAAATAAGTTTAATGTCGTATCTTAGCCAAAAAATGCTGATTGTAGAGTCTATATCGACTAAATTGCAGTCCTCGATTATTTCATCGAATATAAGAAAGTAGAATTGTGCGATGATTCTCTTAAAACTGCTCGCGGGAGAGTAGGAAATTTGTATCCTTTGCGCTATAAAGTTGCAAAACGGGTGAAAAAAGAAAAAGTTGAAAACCGTGCATTAGGTCGGTAACGAATTATGAATTAATCTTAAACTCGAAGGTAAGCCATTGAACTGAATTCACAGTGCGATAATGAGGTCGGTTCAATTATATCTAATAGCGTCGAAAGTGCTGTACCAGTGCCTCTCGTTTGTTTTAGCTTGCATTGGTGAACGAGTCTACTACGGTTCTTTCGCGCATGCCGTTTCTCGTTCGCGTTTCTTTCGCTCGATCATTGATCGGAGAAATCAGATTCTGAATCGAATTGGAGCAATCGTTCGACTGAAGAAATAATTTTTCTCGAAACGAATGTGCGACTAAGAAGTATCATCGTTAAAAATAAAAATGAAGAAACGACATATTATCGATAATTATCGATTTATTTGCGAAGATAAGGGTAACCTAATTCTCTTGGTAAATATATTGTTGTAGAGCTCTTATTAAGAATGGGATTAGCGAGGAATAAAAGTAGATTCAATTAGAAGGAAGAAAGTGATATACTACTTTAAATCTCTCGTAATAAAGTCGCGGAGATTAACCAAAAGGGGACGAATTAAAAAATATTCCTTTGTTTGCAACATCGATGTGTTCATTGAAGTGATAATACAGATAAACAGAGGCGTACGATTAATGATAATTTGTCTGCATTCGAAATTGATAACGCTTATATCATGCCCTTGGTCAAGGAGTCGCATGCAAGCATGAATGGTCAAATACTATGCACGTGCTCGAAATGCGTTACATTAAAATGAGCTGCTCATACCGATTGATCTGATGAGATATTTGATTGATGAAGATGGTATGCTTATCTATTCCGGAGTAATTGACTATTCTAGTTCTAAACAACACAGTTTAACGCCACAATTTAACAGTTTAACAATACAGTAATCGCTGGCAGCATAAAAGAAAAATTATCATTCGGAGTTCTTTAAAGACACGTGTTTTCGAAAGTTTTAGAACAGACTGAAAATATGTTGTTATCAGAAACAACATTTGAAGAAATATTATTGTTTCCTTATAACTATACGGCATTGTTCAGTTAGAACTGAATAAATTATCGTTGAAAATATTATCTTGCCGGTATAATACCGGAAAATAAATATTAATGATAATTTTTATTCCTGCCACTTTTGTGCAGTCATTATTAACATTTTATCTACGGAGATACCAATGGTCTATGACTCCACAAAAATGCACCATTGCATAATTTATCGCTCGTGAATTAAACAAATAAGGTCGATATTTGTATCAATTATAGTATGTTTTCCGATAACGGTATTATCAAGAAATGTACAGTGTTTCACAACAAAATACTTTTTCCAAGAACAGATTTGCGATACATAAAATAACGAGAACTTGAATACAAATTTTTCAAATATATCATAATATTAATTTTTCCTTTTACAGCTACAAATCGCACAAAAAATTTCTCAGTATTTACTTTTCGTGTTCCTAACGAGCATAAACGAAATCGTGTATCTGTTTTGCATCATCATACGGTACAAATACAGGTGTCCAACAACGATCATCGCGGCTTTTCAAAACCACAAGCAGTGCGTACAAAGCATACTTTCGCGAGAAATTATTGTAATCTTATCGATCTCATTAGCACTAGCCTACTCATACTGTTCCCGCTTATCTCGTCATTTTTTGTTGTTTTCCCATACAGTTTAATGTCGGCAAAAAGCCTAGCATAATGATACTCGTGGATGCGTGAAACGATTGCGTAAAAAAGATAACCAAGTATGCTGCTCCTAACGAACGTGCATTTACGGGATTGGAATGGATGCCAACCTTGCATCGACGTAGTATGCAATAAATAAATCGTAAATTAACTCGTTCTAAAGAAAACTGGAATCTATTAAATTCATTCATCAAATTTCTGAAAGAGGAAACTTATCTTGAAACGGAGTTCTATTTTTGTTGAACTACGATCGTAAGAATAGATTACGAGAAATTGATTTTATCGAGTCGATATTTATTTTCGCCTTACGATTGATTTGACAAAGAAATGTACGTTAGAAAGAAAATTCTTTTTAATTTACAAATCTGTGTTAGATTCCAGAACCGTCATGTTTGAAATTTTTGTAAGTTCCAACAACTCAAGAAAATTTTTGGAACAATAAATCCATTTAATTTTCAGAATATTTCCGGAATATAAACACGTGCGGATTTATTAGTAACAAATTTGCAAATCGCTACGTTTACCTTAATAAAAAGAAAAAAAAGAATACGAAAATATATGAATGCAAGGATGATGCACATGGTGTGTGTTCATAGCAATCGACACAAGTGCTGACCATATTCTATTACTTCCCACGTCATTATAAAACATAGTATCTCGATGATATCAGAATTTCTGTTTTTATCGCCAATCAGGCTCGTGCACGTACGTAAAAGTAGATTAACAAAGTTTATCTGAGGTTTCAGTGCTTTCCCTGCTGAGGCCACGAATAAGATAGTGATAATTTGTACTAATGCAAAGTGAAGTTGTTTAGATATGAATTTTCAGCGGTACTACGCGTTGGAACTTTTGTTCGTTCTAAAAAGACTAGAAAAAATGGAAATTTGCATCGTTCTTGTATAATAATTGCAAAGCGAATATTATCGTTTGTAGTTAAACCAGCATGTACAAGCATGCAATATATACTAACCAGTAAAACTATACCTAATCCAGTAAAACTATATTTGTGTTTATTTTACTTTAAATTCTACGTTCGACAAAATTTTTCTAAGAAACGATTTAATAGCATTGTATTTTACGCACTGCGATATGAACTAGTGTATTTATGGGGTAGATAGATGATTTATTGGCAATGTATTGCAATTCAATGACTGCCCCTGTCTATTCTTTTGTATCGTATACTATTGTAGATATTAAAGGATTTCCATTCGTGAGTAAGAAAAATTCACATCGATAGACAGCCGAAATATTTTTCAAGTAAGGTGAAAGGAAAGTACCACTCGTAAATATAGAAACAGTCGGCATTACAAACTGATGTAAACATATTATTGTGTTAAATACGCTTTCAAGTATTATCGTTGTATTTACGGGACGTTGACTTTGTTCGTTTCTCTTTGTTTAAACCCAGTATTGATACGATTCAAGTGAAATTAAAATGGAATATCTATATATATATTTCTTTTAATAAAAGAGGAACGGGACTTTACGTTTCGTATCGATAATTGATTGCGTCGATGCAAATGAACAAGTAGTATTTTCGCTCCAGTCAACTCATTTACATTATTGACAAACACGAACGTTACAGATGAAAATTAATCGAACGTTCGACATTTTGAATGAGAATTATGCGTAAATCCGACTTCAATTTTTATGAATTCGTAATCGTTATTAGCATGCATAAATTTCTACGCATAATTATTCTTAATTCAACTAATTAATAAGGATAAGGATAAAATCTTACAAGCGTGTTTCTATCCAAGTAAATAACAGCTTATACGCTGTTAAAGTGATAGCAAATCGCTTGAACTCAGAAGCCTTGTAAATCCGAACGAAACACCTTAACTAAATACCCAGAAATTCTACAAACCGATGAAAAACCCACGAGCCATTACCAAGACAATCGCCTACTCTATCTAAAAATACTCGCCCGAATGATCGACCACCCCAAATTCTTCTTCCACCTGATCTATCGAGAAGTACACGCGACTTTTCGAGCCTAATCCACGTTCCCTTTTCCAAATCCTCATTCCCGATTGGCAAAGAACAGAAAACGTGGTGGAACAAAGATACTGGACAAAAGATTGAAGAAAGAAAAGGAAAGGAACGAAAAGGGAAGAACAAAGAAACCGAGTCTTCATCGGGGGAAAGTAGGAAGAAAGGAAGCGTATATGGGCCAAGAGCGTATACCATGCGCTGGCAGTCTTACGCGATGGGGGAAGCAGGCTTTTCAGGCAGGAAGAAGGCGGTTCGAGCGGCACCTTGCACACGCTTGCTGTTTCCCTTTCACTCACCTATAGCAGTCCGTGGCCTTGACGCTGGCATGTCCGATCGAGGCGGCATCGGTCAAGGCAGCGATCAGACCGATGACGCCGACAGCGATCAAAAGTCCGCTTGGCATAGTGCTTCCTGGAAGGAGTCACACACGGCTGGTGAGCTCAGGTTAAAAGTCGACGAACCTCTTCGGCCCTTGGTTCAACTCTGACGCCTGTGGATGATTTCCAGCAAGCCCAAGTCTCTTTCACCCAGTAGCAACAGCACGCAGCCGAATCGTTCGACGATCAGCCGACCGACTGATACGCGTGGCGCGCCACTTACAAACACGGCTCCTGGCGATCGCGCTTGGCCTTCCGCTGACAGTTCGCTACTTGCGGTTGCAGCACGCGAGACACACTGTGGTGCAAACGGCTGCTCGCTCGGACACTGTTGATGTCGAAAGCGACCAACCAATGTGTAAACGGAGACACGCGACTTTACACTTCTTATCGTTCAAGAATAGACGATGGTCAACAACGCTGAGAAAGAAGCCCGCGACGGAGCCTCAGTTTCCGAACCCTTTGTGCACACTGACGGAAGTCGCGATCAGTTATATGAGTCTAGTCGGTTGATAATGAGTCGCTTGTTCATTGGTCTGACACCGGAATACTCCCCCAGCCTGATTGGCTGTCGATTAACTTTGCGACCGCGACGACTAACCGTTTATCTTTCTAAGCGACCAAGGCGAAAGGCTTCACGCAGAGTTTTTTGCCTGTTCTTCCTAGCCAGCACGTGACAAGGATTTGTGATCGATCGTGCAAGGATCTCGCGTAAGGATCGCCCGTGATTCTTTCATCCGAATTTGTCTTAATGTTCCTTCGGGGAATTTTGATCAGGCGCTGATGAGACAAGGAATGATTACTGTGCTTGATAATATCTGCATCTTGGACACGGTCATTTTTACTGTTGTCACTTTTTCTGTTGCCCTTTAGTGCGAACGTTGAAATTTTTTCGAATTTTATGAATGGTTTCTATCCCTTATGTCACCACTTAAAATCATTAATCATGTTTTGCAATTATTCGTAACAGTTCACTATGTGTGAAATTTTGTTTAAAACACGTCAATTACTTCAGCCTTTGACAAATGATGCACAAAATTATCACTCTCTAGGTTTTAGATAAATGAATTCTAGTATCAAATTCAGATGACCTGAGTGATTTTACTATAGGTACGTGTAGTGTGATTATTGCACATCCCGAAAATACTATGATGTTTACTGTCTTTCGGGGTTAAAGTTGGATGATTATAATAATCGGTTCATTGATATTAACTGAAAACTCGAAAGTTTGTTTGGTTTGATTCGATAAGATATGGGTAGCTGTTATTGATTAAACTCGACCCAATATTCTTTAAGAATTCTTTAAAAATTCTTCAGATCCGATAATGACTTTAGAATTACCTACATCAGACATCGTTTTTCTGAAATGTGTCGTAACAAATTCGTCATTTATCGAAACCTAAATTCGATTCGTAAGAATCACGTGCGCGTTCATCTTAACATTTTTCTGACTCTTCTCACCAACATGTGAAAAACCGGGTACAAAGCGAAAAAGTATGAAACGTAGAAGACTAACGACTCTTGTGAAAAGAAATCTTTTCAAACGCTACAGGACGTTTATTAAGGAACGGAAGGAAATTAAATTTTTCCATGATCTCTCTCATAATATTACTGCTCCTATATCATTTCGTTTTCTTATATGCTGATGAACTGCAATTATTATCATATCATCTGATTAACGCTTCGTTGGAGACGAGTTAGAAACGCCGCTTCAAGGAACGTTGTGCTACGGGAACAGAAATTAACGAGTCGACTTTTCTATTAAAAATATTCTCGAACGATGAATAATTTTCTTCTTTCTTCTGTCTTTTTATGACTGCAACTATTTTAACGCGTAACTTGCCGTATAAGTGTTTATTTCTTCCAACAAGACTCACAGAAGACATTTTAGGCGATTTAGCTTTTCATTAGACGTAATTAGATTCTTTTTCAGTTGCCATAAAAAAAGAAGTCTTGAACGAACGCATCTCCCACGGTATAAAATTTATTACCGTTTGTTGTATTTGTTGTACTTTGTAATTTGTAAAGAGTGTTTGCTACATTGTGCCGTAATTTACTCTGTTTAAACAAATTGCTCTTTAAAAGCGATCGTTCCACGACAACTTGCATTCACCTCATGGAAATCTTTTTTATCCCCATGAATAATTCAAGTAACCACAGAGCGTGTCAACGAGAAGATACTAGACAATCTCAACGGGAACGATGGGAAAATTGTGCTAGTTGCATCCATTCATTACGAACAGATTTAGAGTTTTTCTTTAGTGCGCTCACACGCCGCCAGAACCTTAATAATCACGAAAATTTCACTGATGATTTTAAAGGAAGAGATTTGACAGTAAATTTACTTCAAAATTAATATTCTTTGATGATTCTCTAAGTAGGTTTCTAAGTTTTCATCAAATTTGGAAGTAGAAACGAATACAAAATCAGAAGTTATTTTCCTTTGATGTACGTAGAAGATAAACAAATTTGTTGTGACGTATTGCGAAACATGCAAAGCATTTTTAATAATCAACAATTTATACACTTGTCTAAATATTCTATGCCTTATCTGCAATAGTAGTTTTTACATGTTCTCTGTGCGCAATTACCATTGATAAGCGCCCTTTTTTTTAAATTCCCCTTCGAATAAATTTTCTATTTTGAATAAATGAATAACCTAATATTTTAGTTGACATGTGATTATGTATCGCAAATTACACTTAACTGGAAGTTAAGAAACAGATTGTTGGTATTTATGCAAATTTATAGTTTCATAGGTAGCATTAAAGTAGTAGAACTTAAACAGAAATTTATTTCATTCGCAAAATATTGCAAGTACTATATTTTTAGTAATTTAATTATTTTGGTGTATCGCGTGCGTTCTAGCCACTTGGGTATCTTCGATTTTTCCAATTAATGCATGAACATCCGTTGTTTATGTTTCGGGCACTCGTGGATGGCAAATTTTGTGATTAATTCCTGTTATTATTACATACACGGTGGCGGATACTGTCTTCCTCTAATTTTGTCCATGAAATATACATAATTGAAACTAAACATTACTTAACGAGAACGTATGCGCATTACGTAAATAATTGTTTATTATTCGACATCTCCCTTTTGGCACCGCGAATTACGGTTGATTTAATACAAGCTCCCATACGTGATTCGAATCGATGATGCAACTTAAGGCACTGAAATACCTAAATCATCTCTCGTTTTTACTCTAGCACTCACTTTTACTAAAGATTGGAAAATAAAGATACATAATAATTTTATGGAATAAGGAACTTTTTATTTTTCTTTAGAATTCGTTAAAGAAAGATAAATAATTCTATAGATAATAATTTTATTCCGTCATCTGCTTTTTGTCAGAAAATATACAGTGAAATGAAATGTTGATATCTCGCTCATACTCTTCATAACTGTGTTAATTCCACGTTTTACAATCGGATTCCTAGGCCAAAGGCGCTTTCGTTTCGACAAACTTTTTTCAAAATTCTGTTCGATCTTTTTCGTTACAACATCGTTATTGAGAACATTTACTAGTTTTTATCATGTGCCTCGCACCGTAAAGCAGCTCACGTATTCCAGATAGCTCAAGCATTTCCTCCTTAGATTACATTAATTACAAACGCTATTCAGAATGTTTATTTGTGGCCGCGTTTTACACTGTCGTTATGTCTGAGTGTAAAATATTACAGTAAATCATTATTACTGCAATAGTAAATCATGTAAATATCGCTCACGAATTTCAGATTAGGAAGAAAAAATGATTTATTCCTTTAGGGAAGCAGATAATATCTTATACGCTGTCGTAATAGAATACAACGCGATTATCAATCAATATCCCAAATCGAATGTTTATTTTATTTAGAAAATTATCTGTTCAAGCAATTATCCGATGACGATTCATAATTTCTTTCGTAAAAAGGTCGTTATTTGACATTTACCTGATATATCTGACACTATGTTTAGGAGAATCACTGTTAATTAATCAACGTTTATGTAAATCACGCGAAAACAGTAACGGTTTAGACATTAATAAGCAAATTTGTGATAATCATCGAGATTCTTCGGATAAATCTTGTTTTATTTACGATGAATGCTTGTAGAATAATTGAACTGTCAATTAGTGTTCTTTGTTACGTAAAAAATTGAAAATAATTTATTATAGGAAACGCTATTTATCACAGCTAATATATAGCTGACGGCTGTAGCTATCTGTTTTAAGTTGCTAAACGCCACTCGATGAATAATACGTTCTTGGCACGAACCACAAGATCAAAATGAACGAAGTTGTCCAGGTCAACTTTCTGCAACCGGACTTATCTTTATTCACGAGAAAAAGTTTATTTCAGGGAATACAGAGGATGACATTTTTTAAGTGGTCGCATTCAAGGAATTACAGTACCGTCAGTTCTGATTTCTTTTTTATAGAAAAATAGGTGGATGTTACGGTAACATGGACAAATATATGGTGGGAATTTTTGATTACAAATATTGTATAAGTTCCTAGGTAAAAGTGACGAAGCAACCTTGGAATATTTAAAGTAAAACACACAGATTTAAGTAGTTTTTAGCTCATTTGATGTTATTGTAGAATGATAATTGTCCTATTTATTATTTATTATCCCTCGAGACGAGCTTTTTCTAATGCACACTTAATCCAAATTCCGTTGGCGGAAGAAGATCATGGCTGAAAATAAACAGCGGAATTAAAGCGTCCTTAAACAAAGTATGCTCCATCGCAGCTTATGAGAAATTATGCATGGTATTAACAACGTTTGGAATAAAGCTGCCGAAGAAATGCAGTGTCTGAGAAATTATGCACAGTATGAACAACACTTGGAGTAACATTTCCTAAGAATTGTAGTCCTACATTTATTATTTGGTTATACCATAATATAACGGAGTTACGTAACAACATTACAACAATGTGTTGCAAACATATTTCAACTCTGGCTGAATAATTTGTACTTCATCCTTGTGAAATAGTGCGCTTTGTTTGAAAAACAATAAAAATGCAACGTGAAATGTGTGACGAGAAAAATTTGAATCGCCGTTGAAATTAATGTTTGACACTCGTAATTGGTTGCAATATTTCATCGGTTTTATCTTCGTTCAATTATGCTATTGATTCGCGATAGGATTGTAATTAATTTTTAATCGATGCCATAGATAAATTGTGGCGATGTTGAAATTTATAAACGCGGTTTCGAGTACAAATTGATGCATTGCCATTTAAAATTCCAATCTTATGTAAGATGCATTACTCTTAATAACATGATAGCTGTTCAAATCTTACATAAGGACATCGGATCATTATTACAATCATGCCTGTTCAATCGTGATATAAGGCACACGGTGTTTGATATTTTCCGACTTGTTCATGTAGTCGGTGGCTTTCAAATTCTATTTTCTTTGTCATTTACGTTTATATTTAACAAACCGTCAAGCTGACAAATAAAAACCTTTAATTCGAACTAATCAAAT